CTCTCTCTCTCTCTCTCTCTCTCTCTCTCTCTCTCTCTCTCTCGCTCTCTCGCTCGCTCGCTCGCTCGCTCTCTTACTCTCTACTCCCCCGACAAGCATAGAGCGCAATACCGCCGGTGCACAAACACGCCCCCCTCCCCCCTGGACGCCAATTCAAATCTTGCCACCCATTCATCCCCCACCTCCCGCAGGCCAGGCGCCGCGGTCTTTTCTTCGCCCGCCCCCATATCTTTTCGCTTCAGTGGTTTCTTCACCTGAGGATGAGCTAAAGCTAAATAAAAGTGGTCTCGAAGCGTCCATTGCGGTTGAACTTAAGTTTTTTGGACTGAGATGTTTTGTAGCCTTCAGATTAATGCATACCATTATAGACGCTTTTATAAAAGACCCAAGGTGGATTTATATTGTATTTATGCCTTTACCAAAGTGTGGCAGGTCGGGGTGCGGGGCCGCTGCACAGCCCTCTGGGTGTATATATACCTGAATAGGCCCCCAATTGCACCACCAAAATGCGAACTCCGCACATTAAACGCTTATGAATTTAATTATGCACAAAATGTCACGCCTGAAACTATGTAAAAACTGTTCATGACCTAGGCCTACATTTGAAAGGAAGCCAGCAGAACTTTGACGTACACAGGATAACATATGTGAAAACAGTTGGATTGCAACCATTACAAACTGATTGCAAAGATATCTTTGTGCAATTTCTGTACAATTTCTTGCTTTCTCCTAAAAAAAATTATCGCGGACTACAGTGTTTACGAAGGGATTATAAGTGCATCTGTACACAGGATGACAGGAGTGGTGGGCCCCTCGTAAATTATTTGTGCATGGTACACATGAGCACATTCATCCATTGGAAGTTGTACGTACGAACTATGGCTGCCTAAAATACTGCAGTTTTGATGCACAACATTTTAGATGAGGATTTAGTGCTCAGAAATTAATCTTGCATCTCGTTAGACTTGTTTTTAGGAAATTGTGGGGGTGGGGTAATTTTAGTGTTCATCACATGGTCATTGGTGATGTAGATATGATGTACCAGGTGGCGATGGGTCGCCAACTCGCATAATACTCCGTACACGGGTTCCATAATACCTCTATAATACTTCATAATACTCCATCATATGTCACAAAATACACCCATAATACCTTATAATACCTAATAATAGTCTATAATACTTCATAATATCAAATAATATGACATAAAATCCCTTAAAACGTTCCATAATACCGCATAATACTATAATACTGCGTACACTGCTGAGGAGAGTTGGCGACCCCTCGCCAGGTGGCTGTCTCCCGCCGCGCACTTTCGTAGCTACTGTACCGCATGCACGCGTGCGGGCGTGCTTGCGGGCGTGCTTGCCTATGCTCGTTGCCCACGGCTCCTTATGGCCCCGTGCGAGTAAGCAACCCGCCCTCGCACCTTGCACCCATGTACGCCATGTTCTTGATGCAACTTCTTTTCTTCTTCTGTTTCCGTTGCGGCCAAACGGTTAATGCAAAATTCTCCATGCTCCATGGTGTACTTCCATACTCTGCTTGGGCCCCTTCTCGGAACTGATGCGTATAAAGCCGCGCGAAACGTTTAAGATTCGGTACATTACGTGACGGTATGCACAGTAAGTTAGGCACCACAAAGTGCGCCCACCGGCACATTTGCTTGGTCCCCGGGTCCCCGTCCCGCGCCCACCTGGCTGGAGCGCCGCACCGCACCGGACGCGCCTTGGCGCGGTGTGATCAACTCTTCCCAGTGCCACACCGCGGCTCGGCGCGCCGGCCGGCGTTACATGGTTCATTTCCATCAACACTCCGACACACTTGTGTCCGACTTGTCCGCGTCCGCCGGACTGCTAATTCAAGATACTGACCTGTAAACAAACTATTTGAATACAAAGGAATGAGCTAGAGTATTAGCCAGGCGAGGGAAACCGGGGTCATGAGCGAGGGGCGGGGTTACACACATCGCTGCGTACTCCGCAGTAGAAAACATTGTAGTTGTTGGGACACAGTCATTTTCGTGATGCCTCTAACTAAATAAAAATAAAACAACAAGGAGTTGAGCGATGACGTGGGCTTTCCGAAATATATATAAGTACACTCAGAAAATGGTTACCTTGAAACTAGGGAATTTCCTTGATAATTTCAATAACGACATTGACCTAAAAAAAAATAAAAAAAAATATTTCCCTTTCTTTAAGGAAAAAATTTCCGTCAGTTGGAAAAAAGTCTTCAACTTGGGGAATTTTTGTCGTTAAACCTAAGAAATTTCTTTGGATCAAGCGAGGAACAAGAGAAGAATTTCCTTATGTTTTTTCAAGGAAACGATTTTCTGGGTGTAGCAGCTGCAAACCTACCCGGTTCCCACTGACAGCATAGGTCTGCTGGGTCTGCTGTGGGTGTGTGTGCAAGTGTGCAAAATTTAAACGTTTACGGAAAGTCTAAGGCCTATTGTCGGCCCGGATAGTGTCGGTGCGATTCCTGAGCGGCCTGTTTTTCTGTTGTTCTCCGGGTGGGAGTGCGGAGGAGGTCAAGATAAGTGGTCAGGAGCTCTACTATGTTCACACTTGGGTTCACAGTGTTTGTTTTGACCGGTCAGTTCCTTCTTTCCGGACCAGCTCTTGTTACCGTCTGGCACTACTGTTGTGCTTGTGGCTTGTGGCGCCGCGCGACGGAACGCCGGTCGGACACCAACAGAATTTATGAATCGTATTGCATTATAGATTGCAAGCCAGCCGGCCCACCAGCCGTGCAGCAGGTAATAATGATTTTCGGTTGTTGGTACGGCATTTTTTCGTCCCGCCTTTCGTCCTCATTGTTTGTTGTAGAGGAGGGTTGGGAGTATTGCGATGAGGTGTTCGGAGAGAGAGGAGGAGGGGGGGGGGACTCTGCCAAAAAGTTGCCGATTACCGCGACACAGTCCATTTCAGCATCGGAAGATTCCGAGGCGTCTTTATCGCGTGCCAAAATTTTGGCATTTATTTTTGATGCCAATTTGCAGTGTTTTCAAGTGCCAATAAATATTGGCATGATGAGAGGCCCCAAGTTGATTGCCAAATATGCTAGTACTATTGTGCCGCAGAGTTTCTTATTGTGATGGAACTTCTCCCCCGCGGTCGCGACAGTGTATG